GACCCCCCAGGCGGCCCCAATCCGCCCCTGGCCCAGCAGCACCCCCGGACCGCCCAGGGCTCGCCCTGCGCCCCGCTGCCTGCACCAGCCAGCCCCACGCACGCAGGAGCTGCCGGACGCGCATGGGCCTGGCTCGGCCCCAAGCCGCCCCTGGCCCAGCAGCACCCCCGGACCGCCCAGGGCTCGCCCTGCGCCCCGCTGCCTGCACCAGCCAGCCCCACGCAGGCAGGAGCTGCCGGAGGGGCAGGGGGTCCTGGCTCCCTCGGGCTGGTGGCCAGTCAGCATGGCCCGGGGGCTCTGCCCCCATCAGACACTTTCCGCTGTCTTGGGAGCTGCTCCCCTCGTGTGGCCATGGGGACGGAGGGGCCACAGGGTCCCCACGTGTGGCTTCCCCAGCCAGGGACGGCCCCGGAGCCGGTCAGAGCCCCTGTCCCCCCACGCTCCCACGCCCCTGCCCAGGGGGGCTGTCCGGCCGTCCCGCCAGCCCGTACCTGCTGATGACTTTCCACTCGCACAGCTCCGATGCCCTCACGTTCCTCATCAGGTCAACGAAGAACTCCCAGCACTTCTGCGTGAAGTTGGCGTACATCTCCTCTGCAGGGGAAAGGCGCTGAGCGCGGGCAGCACGCCCCTGCCAGAGGCCGTCCGTGCCTGTGGCTGCCAGCCCATGACACCCAGCACCCAGCCCATGCCCAGGCCGGCGGGGAGGACATGGGCTTGGTGGGGGGCCGGACCCCACAGCAGCCCCGGGGCGATGCCCGGGGGGCACAGCAGGAGGCCAGGCTGCTGCCAGCTGCCCCCACTGCAGCCAGCACCAGGGAGGGCTCTGCGGCACAGCCCGGCTATTTTGGGGATGGACAGAGAACGCGTGGCCAGGGGAAAGGGGGGGCCACCCTGCGGTGCAGAGCCAGCCCCAGCCAGGGCACCGTCGGCCCCACGGCGCTGCCTGGCCCTTGCCGAGCCCTGGCACTCACCCACGAGCTGGGCCGTCCAGTTGAACACGACCACAGGTTGGCTTGTCCTGGCATCCTGGCCGAAGCCCTCTGCCTCGGCGCCCGCGTGGCAGAGCCCGGTCCCCAGGAACGCTGCGGAGGGGGGCGGACAGGGTGAGCAGGGGACAGGAGCTGGCAGGGCCCGGTGCATGGGAGCTGCCCCAGCAGAGGCCGGGGTCTGCAGGAGGGAAACGGTTTTGGGTGTCCCTCAGGGGCCGCGGGAGCCGGCGGTCAGGGCGCGGGGAGCTGTGCTGCCCAGAGCCCGGCATGCGCTGGGGCCAGGGCATCCAGCCCCCCAGTACAGGCAGGGGCTGTGGGGAGGGGGCCAGCCAGGCTGCGGGCAGCTGCCCAAAGGCTCGGAGGGCCTGCGGGCCGTGGGTCACAGCACGGGGGTGAGCTGTGCCCCCCCACCCGTGGGGAGCCAGCGCGGGGGCCGCCCCATGGCCCCGGGTGGCTGCACTGCGGCCGCATGGAGCTGGGGCAGGAAGAGGAAGCGCTGGCCACGGCGCAGCACTGCTGGAGATCCCCTCCGCCCGCCGTCTGTCCCACACCCGGCACGGCCCACCATGGGCGTGGGGCATGTGCCTCCCCCACCCCGCCAGCCGCTTGCCCGCCACCTGGCCCACCGGCCCGAGGAAACCGCCCCGTCCATCTTCCGCCCTTGGCCGAGGGCCCACGGCGTGGGGCGGCGATGCCAGTCGCGTGGTGAACCGCCCCAGTGGGCCCTGCTGGGCCGCTCACGCGGAGCTCCCGCATGGCCATGCACTGGCCAGGGGTGCTCCCGGGCTGGCACGGTGGCTGTGGCAAGAGCAGCCCGCCCTGTCCCAGTCCCTGTCGCTGTCAGCCCTGTCCAGCCCCTCTCTGTCCCAGCCCAGGGCTTCGCAGGGCTCCCCAGCCGTTCTCACGGGTCATTCGCAAAAAGATCGGGGATGAGCGTGGTGGGGGATGTCCCGCAGTGCCCGCCGGCCACCGGCCCCCGGCCACACAGGGGAAGGGTCGCCCCA